AGGGAAACAAGAAGCTCCTCAAGGACCTCAAGGCATGGACAGAGCAGACTGTGGTCCTAGCATAACATTAGCTGCAGCAGAGGCCAGGAGCAGGAGTCCCTGGGAAGGTGCAGTGACCAGGAGCTGGGGATGAGCCTTCTCATTTCTGTTTTGTTTCTCTGGTTACTTTATATTTTCCCTCTTAAAAATACTAACTAATTTCAGAAGCATGGAGTTGCTCTTCCAAACATGTATTGCTTTTGTTTAAACAAATGACTTGCTTGATTTTTTTTTTCCCCTTATGGCAGAATTGTTCCAGCTCAGCAGCCAAAGGGGCTTGGGCTGTCCTTGAGCCATGGAGGGGTGGCAGATGTAGAGATGGAAGAGCTTTTTGTGTGGAGGGTGTCGGTGAACAGTCTCTCATCCCTTGGGGTACCTGAACTGTCTGTTAAACTGCAAAACTGGGGGACACTGCTGGAGGATCGCCATTTAAGCTTCGCTGCCTCCTGCTCCTAAGCACTGTCTGAAAGAGAAGCTGTTTGCAAACAGATCAGGGTGTCAGAAAAGTGCCTTTAACCAGAAATGGGTCCCTTAAGCTTTTAGTTGTGTTTTTTAAGATCAGTTCAACCCAGGACAGTATGAACGACAGAAATTTTGGGGCTTATTTTAGGTAAACCAATGTCTTCAAAAGGTACTTGATGTTGCTCTCATTGTAGGGGACATGAAAATCTCTTTGTCTGAGACCAAGGTGGGTTTTGTTTGGAGAAACCACCAGGGTTGCATCCTTTGTGGATCTGAAACAGTAACTGAACTGGATGGTAGCTCCGGGCACAGTCAGATCTTGATGGTCTGGCAGAGGTGCCTTCCGTGGGCCGACAGAAATGAATGACGATGTCTAAAATTGAAAGGGCTTTTAACAAAAGAGACTTGTTGCATGTGGGGAGGTGAAATGTTTTTATTCCCTTCAGGTGAGAAGGTATTTGTGGGCCAAATGCCGAGTGGTTTGTCAAACAGAGGGCACTCAATATTCTGCCCAGGGGCAGAAAAGGCCAGCCAGCTGGTCAGGCTTGGTCTTCTAGGTCTGGATCAGCAGAATTACTTTTTCCCCAGAAAGTCTTCAGGACAGTTGCAGTTCACTAGCCAGAGGGGTGCTTGGAAAAGAGGATGGCCAAAAGTCATCCTTTAAGGATGTCCTTGCTACAGCTGAGCAGAGGCTGTGTGTGGCTCTGGCTGTCAGGAGAGGCTGGAACCAGCTGGAAGTGCAGATCATGAGCTCGAGTCCTGTACCCTGCCTCTAAATACAGTGGTGAGAGGCTTGAATCCACCTCACCACCACGTCAGCCTCTTCCTCACCTCTTGGCTGCACAGGAGGTATTGGACACGGCCCAGAGTGGTTTATGTTGCAGAGTTGAAATTTGCAGTGAGCAAAGCTGCGGTGGTTAAGTGGTGTTTCTTTCCCTGTCTCTCCCAGTGCGTTCTCTTGGTGCTTCAGGTGCCTTTCCTCGCTCTGTCTGGGATGTGCTTCTGTCTTTGAAGGTTCCTTCTTGTGTCTTCCATGCCCACCCTGACTCCTTTTGCCTGCCCAGGTTACCTGTTTCCCCCAAAGCACTTGGGAGACAGAGATCATTTGTAATGGTTGCAAGACTTTTCCTTAGTTAAGTTAGGCTTCCTGGGATGTGACGGATGAGAAGCCATCAGCAGAACGCATGCAACATGTCCATGCTGCTCCAGCTTCTCGGGAGTGGGAATGGCTTTGCTATGGCATTTCCTGAGGAGGACATGATGTGCTCTGCCATATGCAGTGGTGACAAACTGCTCCCTCTTCCCACACCTGGGGACACTGTGTTGGCAAGGTGGAAGGGTGCTCAGCAAACAAGTTTCACGGTATTGATGCAGTTTTGCAGAGTTGGGTCTCCTTGTAAGGTCGGTTGTAAGAGGAAATTTATAACGCTGTGTCCCAAAGTTACCCTTTAAAGCACCAGCTATTTTAACACTGGGAAATCACATAAGCATTTTGAGAGGCTTGCAGTATTTCTTTTTTAGCAGTCACTTCATTAAAGATCTTAGGAACTGGAAGTCCTCCTAATAATACCAGTCATATGCTGTTCCCAAAGTTTGAATGAAAGCCCTATCATCGAGACTTGGCCAGAATTGTTTTTGCCGATGCTGTTCCAGCTGTAAGTAGTATATTTACAGCTCAAACTTAGGGAAGCCAAGGACTGGAGTAATGGCAGTGGGACCTCTGAGCAGGTAACTTGTAGGAAAACTCCGGTAGAGGTCTTGTTAAACTTTCTATTGCTTGTGTTTTTTTCATAGGATTGATAGATAGGAGCTGATTTTGTGGAGGAATAGGAGACGAGAGTAGCCAAAAATAGCAAAAATCAAGTGTGGGTAGGTGGGAAGCCAAAACAGGGCTTTGGGGGCTCTACAACTCATATGTAAGATAGTTGACTTGAAAGTCATAAGGTAAATGCAATTCAAAGGTGACCTTCAAAAAGCAAGGTCACGCAGCATTTAAATTGCCTGCCAGAGAGCAGCCTCTTCTCTGTGCTCCTGTAAATCATCTACCATTAACAGGGGAAACAAATCCGTGAACACACGTAAAAGCGCAATCACTTTGAGAACTGGCATGAGTTCCTGCTCACAGGTGCAGCGGGTGACACTTCGGCCACCGACAGGCTCACGGGACACCCCCATCTGGCATCCTAGTCCTGGTCCTCACCGTCAGTGCTGTCAGCGGAGGGAAAGGTTCTCCAAGAAAACAATAGACAAAGATACATAGATAGGAATTTGATATGATTTACACCAATGAATCAAATAGGAGGGTATAAAATTAAATAGTGGACAAGTTGAATGGTGGTTCTTGTGCTAATTTTCTGGAAAGTGGCTGCTTCAACCTCCTGCTCAAATCTCTACTGTAAATATGACAGTAACTTTAAACTAAAAATAACCCAAGAAACTCAAAGATGAGAAGAGAACACAAGAAAAGCTGCTTCAGGGTGCAGCCTGATGAGCCAAGAGCATTTCCATTGTCATGAAGTAGCTTTTCCCATAAAAAGCAGATTAGACCATGTTGTTCAGGAAATGGTGAGACTACATTGCTTTGAATCAAGAGCTTCTCCTTGGAGCTGGTCTTCTGCTCAGCAACAAGTGGCTGCAGAGGCACCATCAGGAATTGTTTTCCCTCGTGAAGAAGGTGG